TTCTGTCAATCACTCACAAATTTAAAATTAAAATTAATGGAAGTAAAAATGAAATTTGAATCACCTTTGTAATTAAAATGAATAGTTATAATAATAAAATTAAAATTGTGCACAGTTTTGGAAGCAGAAAATTCAAAATTAAATTAAGGTATACCTTCTTTTAAAAACTCTTGTTCTTTCCATTAGCTAGGAAGCTCTTAAATTTTATTTGTTTTTTGTAATATGCTAGTTTTAATATTATTTTAATGTATATATATATATATATATATATATATATATATATATATATATATATATATATATATATATATATATATATATATATATATATATGTATGTATATATATATATATATATATATATATATATATATATATATATATATATATATATATATATATATATATATATATATATATATATATATATATATATATATATATATAGTATAATATTATATTTTTTGTATTTAATTGTATATATTTTGCGGACAAGCAATAATGTTTTGAGTTTTTAATTTTAGTAAAATAAAGAGAAAGTTTTAAAAGGAAAACATTGCAAAGAGAATAAATAGTTACACAACCAAACAGCTACTATACCAAAGACGATGTACAAATTACTTAATTGCAATTATAAGCCTAAACTTTATTAACTTTTACTTTTTTTGACGATCCCGAAATCCCGGGAAATTTTAGAGACTAATCCCGGGATTTCAGGACGAATAATTTGTACGAAATCCCGGGATTGCCATCCCTACTTGCAAGTAATCAAAGTAATAAATTTATTGAAGTAGTAAATAACAAAAAGCGAATGTAATAAATTTATTGAAGTAGTAAATAACTCCTTCAAATTTATAAACTAGATAATATCATTAATGCTAGTAATGATATTATCTAGTTTATAAATTTGAAGGAGTTAAGTGTCACACCCTAGTGGAAATATTTCTTATGAAAAAAAAAGTACACCAGATTTTCGAAACCACCGTACCTTGTTCTGTTATGACCTAGATTTTAAAAATATTCCGTCGATATCTTTAAAAAATAAAAGGGGGTTAAACAAGCTGGTCCAGAATTTTTAGTGTTTAAGATAGATAACTTCCAGAAATGGTGCTTTCATAAAATTTTGTAATAATCATACTAATGCAAAATAAGAATGTTTTAGAAAAAATTGCGACAATCAGAGACTGGAAACAATATTAAACCTAAAAATTGGGTTCTTGTGTTCCATTTATGGTTTCATTAGAAAAAAATTTTTTTTCCATAATATCTTTAAATTAAAATTAATCGACAGATTTAAATTTTCATACAAAAACCTCTTCTCTTTAAAAAGTTATTATTGTTTTTAGGTTTTTATTCCCCAACTAACTCCAAAAAATAACTTTAAAAGATCACAACTTTTAAACGGCATATTTTTTTGGAATGATATTTAAAAATTGTCGATAAATTTTGATTCTAATAAATATGAAAAGAGCGTTACGTTAGAGGCGTGTTCTTAGAGATTTAATATGATTGGGCCCGATCACTGGACACAAATAAAAAGAAGATTTTAGCTTTTTGTTGTGATTTTTAGTGATATTTAAAATAACAACTTAAAAATAACTGTTTCATATTTTACAAACTAACTTTTCACAATAAATTATATATATAGTTAATCAGTAAGACTTTCAGAAAAGAAAGTATGACGAGAGTTATATGTAACAATAGCTTTATGCAATCTTTTTGAATAATTTTTGTGACATTTGGATACCTTGTAACCGTTTTCCCAGAACTGACTAAAATTTTGATGAACAGATTCAGGGGCTTGTTCGCTCCAATAGCTTAGACCTTTGTTTGGATAATCACTTGACATTATTTTTTAAAAATTCTACTGTATATTTTACTAAAGCGTGTACTTTAGGTGATACTCTTAATCCAAGTTTATAGTAAGCTTCTTGATAATCTTTTACTTTTATTTCGTAGTCGGGTTCTAAAGTCATCGCTAAACAACTAACTTTAACTTCTCTTAAGCATTTAAATGCCTGTAGTATGAAAGAAAGTTGTTCGTCATTATCTAGTGAAATAGACTCGATCAAATCGTTCAAAATATCTATATTATCAAGAAGTTTTGAACACTGTCCTCCCTTAAATTGCCCACCATGAAGCCTTGGTCTTTTAAACCCCAGTTTTTCATTCCACTCCTCTGCTTTAAAACAAAATTCTTTAAATTTTGTATATGAATCAAGATAATTAAAAAGTTTGTTGGTGTTTCCACTGAGAAGGTGTAGCTCCATCGGAGCAAGAAGTTTTATAACCTTTGTTTCATCTGGTAAATCAATAAGTGGTTGGTCTACACAGTTATGATAGGGTACTGCAGATAACTTTGATTTTTTAATTTTATTTCTGCAAGCATTTTTGTAATTATTAGCTGTAATCTAATCATTCCAAGCATTCTATGTTCACCTTGAAATTCAAAATTTTGAAAATTATTTTTGCTAGCTATACACCAAGGGCAAGGATGAGTTGAGGCTGCAGTTTCTATTCCAAAAAAAAATACTGGCCAACTTCATATCGAAATCACAAAAGTATTTAATACTGTTTAAATTAATAAAATCGATTATTATTTTCATATTAGCGTAAGATTCTTGCAAATTTTCTACAAGTGCAATAATAATGAGTTTGTTTACCCCACTATCTTTGTATTTTTCTTTACATATGCCTTCGTCATGACTAAATTTTTTTACCTTTTCTTTAGATACCTTGCAACGATTTAAGATATTTAAACAAATTTTCAAAAATCCAGCTCCTCCATCAATGCCGACTTTTAAAATGTACTCACTTGAAATATTTCTTTTTTTGACAACATTTTCCACCAGTCCTAGAATATCTTTGCAATAAGCCATCACCTTTTCACCCTCATCAAATTTAACAGATCTTACGTCAAAGTATTCATTTAAAATGGCGTCTTCTTCAATCAGTTTATTTCTTGTATTTTTTTCAAATGATTTGCGACCTTTCCAACTTCTAAAAATACTTAAAACTTTAGCACCTTGTGTGTTACTGAGACCACATGCACTTTTTAATTTGTTCACTTCACTTGTATGTATCGGTGAATCAGTAAACAAAGCTTTAGAAGAAGTTTTTGGTCTTTGTATACTAATTGAAGTTCTGCATGTTGCAACCTTAATTAAATTGCCTTGTTTTTCAAACTTTTGTTTAAGTGTTTTTGAACATTGCAATTTGGCACTATCGTCTAAATAAAAATCTACAATATAAAATTTGTAATTACTTTGGAATTATTATTATAATTTAGTTTTAATAGGAACTTAATAATGAAATTAATATTTTTTTACCTTTATCTAGTTGCTTCATTAGGTTTTCCCTTCGCTTTGTAATACAACAGGTGTGGGCTAATCCTGGTCCAATAACATTTAGACATCTTTAACAAACTTTAACTGGTCCAGGAGAGGGTGAAACTTTCATATTGAGTTTTGGTCTTCCTCTTTTATCTATATTTGATCCACGTGTTAAATTACACCTAGCAGTAAGGCAAATATCACATTGGCAAAACTGTTGATTTCTAGTTAGAATCGTTTCTTTGATCTTAGAGAAATCAAATGGTTTACATAAAACTATATTGGTGTTACCTTTTTCCATTTTTACTAAATTAGTTCGACATCTTCCACAAATTCCATTTGGAAAACGGTTATCATTTAAATTAATATTGTCAATGAAATGTTTTTTAATTCTCAATAAAACTACACTTCCTTCTTGTATTTTACTTAATTTTTTTCCTTTTTCAAAGCAAATTAAACAAACTTTACTCCTACTTTGACTGTGATTTAGCCTTGAATATGGCATTTCAAAAGTGAAATAATAATTAATATTTAAATTTTCAAAGCACAACTAACGATATTACAAACGCAACGTGTAACAAAACACAAATTACAATAATGCATAAAAATCAAAACTCGTTAAAACTAAAAGTGGTTTTTAATTAACCAATTTCAAATATTTTAGCAATAAAGAATGATTTTGAGGGTTATTTAAATTGACGTAATACAAACAGTAGTTTGTAAAAGTAAAACATGTAACATTTTATAAACTCGCTTTGGTAAAACATACAGAAGAATATTTTAAAAATTCTATATATAATTTATTGTAAAAAGTTAGTTTGTAAAATATGAAACAGTTATTATTAACTTGTAATGTTAAATATCACTAAAAACTACAACAAAAAACTAAAATCTTTTTTTTATTTGTGTCCCAGTGATCGGGCCCAATCATATTTAAACTCTAAGAACACGCCCCTAACGTAATGTCCTTAAAACGTTTATGAATTTTTTTTTCTTTTCATATTTATTAGAATCAAAATTTATCGACAAATTTTAAATATCATTCCAAAAAAATATGCCGTTTAAAAGTTGTGATCTTTTAAAGTTATTTTTTGGAGTTAATTGGGGAATAAAAACCTAAAAACAATAATAACTTTTTAAAGAGAAGAGGTTTTTGTATGAAATTTTAAATCTGTCGATTAATTTTAATTTAGTTAAAGATATTATGAAAAAAAAAATTTTTTTTTATTGAAACCATACACAAGGACCCAAATTTTAGGTTTAGTATTGTTTCCAGTCTCCGATTGTCGCAATTTTTTCTAAAACATTCTTATTTTGCATTAGTATGATTATTACAAAATTTTATGAAAGCACCATTTCTGGAAGTTATCTATCTTAAACACTAAAAATTCTGGACCAGCTTGTTTAACCCCCTTTTATTTTTTTAGATATTGACAGAATATTTTTAAAATCTAGGTCATAACAGAACAAGTTACGGTGGTTTCGAAAATAATCCGTTTCTGGTGTACTTTTTTTTCGTAAGAAATATTTCCACTAGGGTGTGGTGTTAACATTTATAAACGTGTATTTAATCTTTTATATCAAGCTTTATACTTTATCTTTTTAAATAAAACAATATTACTACATTAAAAGCAACATTAAAGCAACATTATAGCAAAATAAAAGCAACCTGTCACTTGCGTATATCGATCAAGAAGTAAACTGACACGATGATCGGAATTTATTTGCTCTTTTAAACTATTCTTTTTCATGACTAATTCATGTGTCATTGCATCCTCTAATCTTTCTCTTTCTTCGTGATACCTTCTTTGTTGTTCAATAACCGTTTCCATGGTTTAGTATTTTGTCTAAAACAACAAAAATAACATCATCAGAAATTTTTTAAAATAAAATAAAATGCATATAAGCATATATAAAACAAGATAAGCTATTCCACAGGATTTTTTAACATTAACATAGTTTTACAGAACTTAAAAAGACTTTAAAAACGAGTGGTCTTTCAACTTAAGAAGTTAAGTGGAACCGTTATTGCATTTTTTGTGAAAACTGATTTTTTGACAAAATGCCTTGTACTTAACAAGTAAAAATTTGCTGTGAAATGGAACTGAAATAAAAATATCAGAAATCAAGCGCAACAATCAAAACAAACAATACTTAAAGGAAAGAAATATATATATATAAATTCTAAACAAAATTCCTATATACTTTTCTTCAAGAAAACATAAACAAATACTTGGTTTGAATAGAGGAGTGCTATACTTGCTTTTTTCACAAAAAACCTTTTTAAAAAAAAAACAACCTTAAAGATTTTAGATGCTAAGAACTGAGAAATTATGTATAAATATTAAAAGATTCCTTATTCCATTAGATTCCTTATATTTTTTAAACCTATAATTATAAAAAAAGATATATGAGAGGAAAGTTCATGAAGATATGTATTTTTTTTTCAAACGTCAAATGTTTTTATTTAAAAAAATAGAAATTGCTTACAAGATACCAAAAATTTATATTTTAGAATATTTGCTATATTAGAATAAAATTTTACTTCACGACTTATCAACATAAGCTATTAAATTGAATAAATTAAGTCCAATACTGTAATGAGTAAACTTTGAAATTCACCCGAATATTATAAATTTATGAACTTGAAAATAAAAGTATAAACTTTGTTAAATTACTAGCTATAAAACGTTTGCAAATTAAAGTAGGTAAGTGAAAGATACTATGACTCAAAATAAGGTTTTGATTTTTTTTTTTAAAACGAAGACCAGATATATTACTGATTTGACGAGAAATATAGGAGAGTGTTGCTACATCGTTTGATCTATACCTGTCTTAACCCAAACCCTCAGTCGATGTTGCAGCATTTCCTTGCATGTTATCCCTAAATTAGTCAATGTAGAAGCACTCTCCTACATTTCTCCCCAATTCAGTAATATATCTGGTCTTCGTTTTTTAAAAATCAAAATATCATTTTGAGTCATTGTATCTTTCGTTCACAGTAAGAGCAATTTTGTTCTCCCGGACTTAAACGAAACAAGCTGTTGAATATTACGGTGGCGACCAATAATGGCGATTTTGACGCTGTAATTATTTCAAATTATTTATGTAATAATAAATAATTTTGCAATTATTTATTTTATAAGTTCTGTTTTTAAAAGTAATAAGAGATAAGCCGCGTAAATTGAATATTAAACAGATTGTTTTTTGTCAACGTTATTTGACTATGTACATCATTACAATGTTCGGCTTTAGTAAGTGGAAGATCATTCATAATGTCGGGGTTAGCATTTTTTGGTGTTAGAAATTTTTTAATTTCCAAACATGGAGCAAACATTTAAATGTTTATCCTTATGCCAAAAAATGATGCTTTGCAAATAATTGCGATGATTGGAGGCTGGGAAAAAAAAGCCCTAAAATTTTATTACCATCACAACCCCCCCCCCCCAATGTGGGAGCAACAAGTCGATAAAATGTTTTTTTTTACTATTCTTAACTAGACTTATGTTCATTGATAAATTTTAAGTTTCATAATATTATCTCTCAGCGTTTAAAAAATATGACCATATATAGTTAAAATTCCCCTTAATTTGAAAGGGTTAAAATTTTATACGGTCACAGTTTTTAAACGCTCAGTAGCTACTATTCATTTTTAAACGCTCTTGTAGCTACTATTCAGGTTGATTGTAAAGAAAATTTTAATAATTTTTGTCAGAATGAGCCTCAAGCTGCACACTACGGACAAAACCAAATTTCTCTTTTCACTGCAGCAATCTGGCAAAAAATCTTAAATCTTTCACCATACCAACCAACACTTTATATTACACAAAGACCTCCTTACTTGCAAACTTGGATAAGTTATAGGAGTTTACTTCATTTAATACCCAAGCGTAATAATAAATTTAAAAAGAAGTTTAATAAAATAATATTTCGGCATATTTTTGCAGCAATGCATGACAGAGGAGTTATTGATTACATTAGAGTTACTGTAAAGCGTTTAGCAACCAACAAAGTCAGAAAAAAATAAAATCCAATCAGCAAATGATTTTGTGAATTCTCTTCAAGACATTAATGTCAAAGTCTTATACTTTCCAGGGGAAGAAAAGTCAAGCAAAAAAAGTCCCATTACTTTTATGTCGTTAATGGCAAGATCAAGATGAAATAGAATTTCACCGTAATGCATTCAAAATAAATAAAAGAGTGAAATAATTTTTATTTCTAAGTATATTCTTATTTGGTTAGTATTTTAGTATTAGTAAAATAAATCGTTTGTAAATGCAACCGAAGGGGGGTTGCCCATAAAGTCCAAATAATGTCCATCCTATATTTGTCAATTTTAACCCCTTACCTCCCGTCACAAACTGTGATAGCAGTTTTTGCGTCAAAAGTATTTTAAAAGATTTAAATATAAATACTTTGCATTTTAAAATTTCAATCCAATGAAAATATGACCAATACACATAATCATAAGAAGTGTAAGTTAAATTTTCGACTAACTAAAACATTTTCTTATTTAAACGACAAATATTAACAGGTTGTTAATAATAAACTTTAAAAGTAACTTTAAAAAATGATAAAGTAATTTTTTAAAGTTGCTCTTGCGGAAAAAACTGATAACTTTCATAAATGTTATGGAAAATTACTCAGGAAGAGAGCTACAATTTATTTAAAATTACCTTTGTTAATTACTTTTAATGAATGAGTTAAATATTATAATATAAAGAACAGAAAAATTTGCAAAGCAGTGAAAGGACAGCTTCATAATTTAAATGTTTACCGGCTCATCAAAGATCAAGACTCAATTTAATAATTTTAGTTCATCGCATACTTCAGTTTCTAATGAGGAAAACTGTTTACCTTTTGATGTGGATTGCGAATTTTATGACATAATAATATATTGCGAAAATTATGACATTAATTTCGTTATCATAACTTAGACATCTTAAACTCTATGTCCTTTTTCCATTTAAACATACCCTCTTTACAAAAGCACTTTGAAGTATTGAACATATTATTATCATTAATTAGTTTTGAAATTAGCATTATTGGAATTACAGAAACAAGGTTAAAAAAAGAATCTCCTTCCACACTTCCAATTAGTATTCAACTTTATAATTTTGAGCACACACCAACTAAATCTTCTTGTGGTGAAACCTTGTTATATTTATCAAAAAAACTGATTTATAAAAGAAGAGACGATTTGATCATATATTCACCGAACTATTTAGAATCTATTATTAATGAAACAATTTCAAATTTTTTGGAAAATTAAATTTCGAAAAATTTAATTTTCTAAAAATCGGTTGCATACGAGCAATTTCATTTTTAACTTACCTTACATGCGCAACAACTTTATCAAATAATTGCCTTATAAACTGTAAATTAAATTTTCAGCTATTTTGTATGAAAGCTGTTAGTCTGAAAAAATAAAAAAGCTAAAAAGTTTTAAGTCTGGCCAAAAAATAGCGAATTTATTACCGAAAATGCCGCTTAAATTACGTTGCGCAGAAAACAAGTTAAAATTTTTTTTTAAGTTTCAGGTTAGATTTTTGCAAATCAGTAACTGTAGGTTTAGTATATTCTTTAAAACAATAGTATTTCAATACTAATTTAAATAAGATTTATAAACTAATATAATTTATATAAAAAAATGATTAGGTTAAATTCACAAAGTTTTTAGGTGAAAAAGTCAAAATAATTAATTAATAATAAACCTGTTTAAATGTACAACTAAGAAAAAAAATAGTACAACTGAGCAAAAAAATAGTTGTACTATTTTTTTGCTTAGTTACAAGCAAAAAAATAGTACAACTAAGAAAAAAAATAGTTGTACGTACGTCCAAATAATGCCTACCTTTCTAGATAAAAAAATTTATTAATGTATTTTTAAGGAAAAAAAATTCAATAAAAAAATTCCAATTTTCTTTTCCTATTAAGCAATCACAAATTTTTACAAATAAACTCCAGAACAATGTTAGACCACTAATTATCTGTGAGAAAAATGCGAAAAAACTTGTATATAGCATTTTTTTATCCACCCTTAGGGTAGTCATTCTTTTGGAAAGTTCAAATAGGGGACCTAGGGAATTTAGATCACAAGGAAACTTGTTGATTTTAAAAGCACATTATAAAAACTTATTCAAAATTTGCTTTACAGTAATTTAAAAAACCGCCTATTTTTGAAGGTATAAGCGCCAAACAAATTTTGCGTAAATAAGTTTTGACAAAATTTTTGTGAAGAATAAAACTTTAAAATAAACAACATTTCTCTTTAGCAAAAAAATACACAATGATTAAATTTTTTATCTAAAAACTATAATATATGTTTAGAATAAAATATAATATGTTTAGAATAAAATATAATATGTTTAGAAATAAAATATAATATGTTTAGAATAAAATATAATATGTTTAGAATAAAACTTTAAAATCAACTTTAAAATCAATTTTAAACAACATTTCTCTTAAATGTTGTTTAAAATTAAAACCTAAATAATACAAAATGATTGAACTTTTTATCTAAAAACTATAATATATGTTTAGAATAAAATATAATTTTCGTTTAGAATATAAAACTTTAAAATAAAGAATATTTCTCTATAGCTAAAAAATACAAAATGATTACATTTTTTTATCTAAAAACTACAATACAAATAACTCTTTCCTTATTTTTTTGTGCGACATTTGTCGTATGTTTTTTCATAAAAACTCTTTAAGTACTTAGAATATGTTAATGTTTCCTTCAAGTACTTGAAATTTTTTTTGAAGATGTTGACGTGAATAATGATACCATCCATAATAAACATGATGAAAAAGATAATATCTAAATATTAACAATATATATATATA